TGTGTGTGTGTGTGTGTGTGTGTGTGTGTTACTGTTGCAATCCTAAAATGATACAGATGTCAGAAACTTTGCAAACGTTACAAATGGGTATTTTTAGCCTGTTGCTAGGTGGTTGCCAGGCAACATGACAAGTTTGTTTCCTCAACACTTGACGTTCACACCATATTTCATGGAATAGTCTGCTTTTTATTTTGAAGAGTTAGATTTAGATTTAACTGTAAATAATATAAATCTGTTTGATAAAATCATGTAATAATAATAATAAAGTAATATCTTCTTTTTCTTTCATATATAAATATTTAGAAAACACAGCATGTGGGTGTGTGCGAACAGCCTGGTGTCAGGTGTGAACGAGTTCCCGGGCCTGAACATGTTCAGGTGAGGATGAGGACTGACTCTGATCTTTGATGATGACTCACCAGGCAAAAAAATCCCCCAATTAATCTCAAGCTTAAGCCCAAAATTAAAGCGGCAGCTTCTATGGATCCTCGGGTGACTGATGAAATGTAATAAGTCTCTTGAGCGCCACCAGCAGGTCAGAGTGAGATCATATTTTTAATTCTGCCTAAGATTAACTGTAAATAACAGATAAGAGCCTTACAGCAATGACACTGACTTCATTATAGAATAATAAAGATCACTGGACTGAAACAAATGAAATAATATAACATGGTCTGTGTTCATGGAAAGTTTTTATTTCACTTCATGTTGAACCAAATTCAAAACGCAATCGGCCGCACAACAGCTGATGTGCTGTGTTCGTAGAGGCTTCTTTGACTTGTTTTCATGACCTGTGTCTACATGTTCAGACATCTTTGCCTCTGGCCAAGTTCAGTTTTTACTAATAAATGTTTGATGCTGACAGACGGATTCATATCTCTTATGTGATGTCATATTCGTCACACTATTGGCGTTCTTATTATTACAGCGGCACCTCCACAACATTTTAAGATCCTGAGGTAAAGATAAGCCCCGGAGCTACTGCTGCAGTGTGAACAACAAATGTGGCGCACTAAGGGCGTCCTTAGGCTGTGGGGTTGTTGATCTTGCCCATGAAGAGGATGCTCTTTGTTGAATGCTCAAGGATGAAGAGCAGGAAGGGTCTGTTGAGGGTTATGGCTTGGGGCAGACTCATCGGCATGATCTCGACAGTGGTGGCAGCAGCAGCCTCCGTTCCTGTTTCATCCACGCTGAGCACCGCCTGGTGAGACACCTGTTGGAGGAACCAGGACACGAGAGCCAAGGTCACATTTGAGTCCATGAAGTGGACAAAACAATGAAGTCACATTCAGGGATCCTACCTTTGAGACTTTGAGCCGGACCTCATCAGACATGCCAGAAAAATCAGCTTCGTCTTCAAAAGCGTCCGTTATTCCACTTTCTTTCAGCGTGTCATCCAGGGAGGCTTTGGCAGAGATGGAAAACTTTGGCATGCCAAGATTCACGTTACTGAGAAACAAACACAAGAGAAACACCAGTGAAATATACGCAACCACAAACAGCCACTTACGAGGTGCTCTCTTACGTCCTGAAGAAGGAATCGTGCCAGCGCGTGATTTGATCTTTGCTGATGGCAGCCTCCACCTGATTCATTTTGTCTTCATCGGGGAAAACAATCATCATGGAGGTGTTGCCCTTGTACGGCAGCATTAAAACGGTGGCGCTGTTCCCGTCGTCTCTGTAGAAGTCGTAGCGTCCCGTCCTCCTCATCATGTCCACCTCAACTGTGGTGCTTCCGTCCACATAGAATTCCTCTTTGCGTGTTATGTTACCGTCAAAAGGTTTCTCCCACTGTCCTGTAACGGGTCACATCAAGTCGATATTGATAGTGGGTACTTATTTGAAATCGTTGCATCCTTCAGACTTGTTCGTTTCGTGTATTTGTGCTAATCTCTATCTGTGAAAACCTTGAACCTGAGAACAAACACTGTCTGTTCTGTCTGCATGTGTCTTACCTCTGAAGTAGACGTAGTTGATGAGGACCATTGCCATTTCAGTGTCCAAGTCCTTCACCATGTCTTTGATCTTGTCGTTGGTTTTGCTGGCAATGAGTTTGTTGATTTCAGCTGCAGCCTCTTCAGGTTTGGTAAAGTCAACTTGAAAGATTTCCCCTGAGTAGTACTGCTTGATGTCGTTTAAGAACTGCTCCAGAGGACTGAAGCCGGAGCGCACCGCAGCAGCGTTGCCAACATCCAGCTTTTGGTTCTCCTGGCTTTGTCCAAGCATGTGAAAGAGATGCTTGTAGGCTTCGTTGACCTGAGTCTGGTTTAAGGTGCTGTAGCCCAGGCTGGAGAACAGCTGGCTGTGGGTTTCACCGCGGGCCCCAGTAGACAGCAGGGACAGGGCAGTGGAGATGCCCAGTGGCGAGAAGAAGATGTTGTTTCCAGCAGCAGTCTTGGCATTCAGACTTTTGTAGAGGACAGCAGCAAAGTCAGCATTAGGAGCAGAGAGCCTGTGGCAGCTCTCGTGCTCCTCGTTGCTCTGCGCAGAGCTGTGGTGGTGGTGGTCGGCCAAGGCTACGGCCAGGAGCAGCGCAGCGAGCGCACAACTAGCAAAGAGACCACGCATCTTTAGAGCACTGTCAAGAGAAAAACAAGCATTTAAAATGTAAAACAAAGATAACACTTCCAGGGATAACAGTGGGAATGAATCTGACACAATCAGAGCAGGATCTGGACCAAACATAATGTTTAAGTTTCCTGAAATCCATTCAGTGGTTGGCTAATAAAGCAATGTTCTTACCTTTAAAGTCCTCTCTGCTGCAGGCAGCTGCTCAGAAACTTCCTCTTTATATACAAGAGCGAGAGTCGGTTTACAGTCCAGTTAAAAATTAACCCAGAGTGATCTCTCTGCTCTGTCCCATGCTGAGAGGCTGAGCTTCAGTGATGCAACACAGCTGATAAAAATGAGCGTAAATGCATCGAATCCATTTTTTATTTTTCATTTTGTGCCCGCAATAATCATCAGAGAAGATCTGACAAATCAGATGTGAACGTTGAGTTCATTCTATCTTAGTGCAGAATTTTCACGTGAAAATGCATTTTGGAAGTAAAACATTTTTTAAAAACGGAGGTTGTATTAATTGCATTTACACGTATTCTTAGCGTGCAGCAGTTTTATCTTGTTCGTGTTGGTGGCAGCCTGGCACAGTTGTCCTCAAACTTCAGCTACTTCTCTGTAAATACTGATGATAAACTGAACAAAGTTGATTCAAAAATCTAGAACGAGCTGGTTTACGGACAGCAGACGATCAGCTGCTGTCAGCTTGTCATTTAAATTCTATGATCTCACATCTTCCATAAAAATGTGATGCAGGCTAAATTACTGTTTTTAATAAAAAATGCACAGCTCTGCATGATTGCAGTAACGTGTTGAAACGTGTCTCCATGTAACACAGTTTGAGGTTGTTGGTTTTGTGGCCGTGCAGCCGGGGCTCGTTTTATCAGCTTGAACTCGTCTCTTCTATCGATAAATGAAGTTAATAAATAATGGAGGACAGTAAGGAAAAAACCACTGAAGCTTTTTTACAGACAAAGGTGGCGTGATGCAATAATCATTTAAACATGAAGACAACGTTCAAATCTTCAGCTGCTCTTAAAAAATGACAGATTTAACTGGAGGACAAAAAGGTCGCCTGGAAAAGCAGCTCGAACCTGCTGACCGTCTCACAGAGCAAACACAGTAGTTATGGAGCTTTGATTTGATCTTTGTTCACTTCCAGTTTAACAAGTTCAAACTTACCTTTTCAGGATTTTGTGCTACCAGTGTTTTACATGAGCTGACAGCTTCCTGTTTCCTGCTACGCTTTGCATGTTTGTTTGTTTGTTTGTTTGTTTTTGTTTAGTGTGTACTACAGAGCTCCAAATCCTTGCTATCAGGGACTAACACTTTTTCTGTTACCATCATTAACTCGGCGGTTTCTATCTCTCCTTCTGTGAAAGGTTTGGGCGTCATTCTTGACAGCACGTTATCCTGTAACTCTCACGTCACTAATGTCACTCGGTCAGCTTATGTTCACCTCCGTAACAACCATCGCCTCCGCCCCTTCCTCACTCCACATGCCACTGCTATGCTCGTCCATAGTCCTGTTACCTCTCTGATCAACTACTGTAACTCACTCTTATCTGGCCTGCCAACACAAATCCATCAACAAGCGCCAACGTTTTCAACGTGTCCTGTATTATTACTAGGACCCCCTCCACTCACCACATCACCCATCCTGAAGCAGCTTCACTGGCTCCCGGTTCAACTCCACGTTAATTTTA